AATAACTCTTTAACAACAACCTAATAAATAAGATAACTATCTTAACTCATTAGCAAGCCCACGGTCTATCTAAGCAGGAATCCTTGAGACGCTCCAAAATGTTCCCCGAAAAGTGCATTAAAGCCATCTACGGATGCATAGGTACCGATCGTACCATGATCCCCACCAAAGACAGCCTGAGAAAAGAGGCCCACTTCGCCGAAGTATCATGTTGTTAAGATCCACCGGGGAAGTAAAGGTAGAAGCCACTTGGGAGGTTTGGTCAACACTCCCGGCAAGGCCATCCATGTAGGATCAATATTACCATGTTTGGATCAGAGTGGAGCTCGGACCCTACACCTCCTTCTGGCAAAGACAGAGGACCATCAGCAGATATGAGTGATGCGGAGACATCAACACCTACCAAGCCGATGGCTACCGAAGCTGAACCTGTCCCTGGAGAGTGTCCCATAGTGCCGACATCACCGCACCAACATCCAAGGAGAAATTAAAAGAAGACAGTCCGAAGTCAGCACCTCTCGAAGAGAGAGACCATCCCGAAGAGAGGAATCATCCCAAAGACCTCGGACCCATACTGTATATATGGTGGCCTCAGTTGTCCAAACAGGAAAAACAAGTTATTATGCACGCACACCAGAATCTGGGACACCCACCTGCTGAGAGACTGAGTCAGGCCCTCAAACATCAGGGGCTATGGTTCGAGCAGTGTGTGGGTCCCTGTGACACGTGCAAAGCTCATGTTCAATCCGAACATCAAAGACCCGGCAACTTGGAACCACTTTTGGATTTTAATGAAAGAGTCTATATAGTCGGTATGCAGTGGACCAATAAGCAAGGCCAGAACTACTTCCATATGTATCATATGATAGATGCTGGACCAAACTATCACGTGGCTGTCTGCTCCGCCAACAGAACAACCAACAGGTGAGCAATCTTCTCCAGGAACACTGGTTGAAATGGGCTGGTCCACCATAGGAGTTTGTGGTCGATTCTGCGACAGAGCCGAATTCCGAAGAGTTCAGCCAATTCGTCTCAGCATATGGCCTCAGAGTCATCACAACATGCCCGGATGGTCATTGGCAGTCTGGGAAAGTGGAAAGACATGGGGGTTTCCTGCAAACCATGCTTGGCAAAATGGACAGCGAACAGGCTATCTCGAGTTATGGACATTTGCAGGCCGCAGTCAATCAAGCCACCCAAGCAAAGAATTCACTCGGTACCCAATATGGATATGCCTGAATTGATAGTGTTTGGGAGACATGCGCGCTTGCCCGGCTCCATATTGAATGACACTAGCCTCCCAAGTCATCTCGTCGCAGACAGCACAGACCAAAGCGTAGGCGCCCAATCTTTTCGAAAGAGTCTAGAACTTCGAGAGAGGGCTCGAAGATGTCTCCACGCAGCCGACAATGACCAGTCATTGAGAAGAGCACTCCTGCGACGCAGTTGCCCCGATCGTGTCAAGCGTTACAAAGGGCAATGGGTAATGCATCACAAGCGCTGCGTTTGGAGGAGCGCGGAGATCCCATGAGAGTGGTGGCGCAAGAGTCAAATCATACCATTTGGTTGTCCCACCTAGGTAAACTGACCGCTCCACCTGAAATGATTCGGCCAGCCACGAATATGGCAATGCAGCAGGTCCATGCAGATGATCCCGAAATCGATAGTCCAACCCCACAAAAAGAACATCTCCTGCAACAACAGCCCATTCCTGGGCCACAAGAATCGCTCGAGGAACTTGGGCGTCCCGAAAATGAGATCCAATAGGAGATAATCCACCTATCCAGATTCCTGAATCATCAGCAAGTGACAACCAACCCGATCAAGAACCAGAACTCAATGAACCCACCAACAATTCTCAAGAGAACCCTTCGACAGAGTCAGTAGACATCGAAAATGCGCAAGAAACGCTGTGGCACCAACCATGTTGCGATGCGAAGATGAACAACCAATTCTCAATACCATACCAGAGGATGTTGCTTGGAGAACTGAGTTCGAATTACCTCAAGCGTCCATGAAGACAGTGAAGGAACTGACCGAACAAGAAACATGGAATTTGCTTGCAACCACCGCCAAGAAGCAAAGGTCAGAAGTCAGACTGTCCATGTTGAACCCCCAGGAAAAAGAACAGTTCGCAAAGGCAAAAGAATCCCAAATCCAAAATTGGATAAAACCAGGTACAATTTCTCGCATTCTAGGGAATCAGATTCCACAGGAGAATATCCTGAAGCGGCGCTGGATCCTAACCTGCAAACCCATAGACCCTGAAGACAGTGACATGAAAAGGGTAGGGCCCGAGTCACAAGAAAATCGAGCTGACTGCGCAAGCTCATCAGTCCGACAGCACAAAGCCAAAGCAAGACTCGTGGTACTTGGATATCTCGATCCCAACCTGGAGGAGGTACCAAGAGACCCGCCAACACTCTCCAGAGCAGGCAGGATGCTGGCACTCCAAGCCATCGCCAGTAACCAATGGCGATTGCAAAGAATTGACATAAAGGCAGCGTTCTTGTCAGCCCCAGAACAGGCTCATGCCATGAAACTCTAGGCTTCCAAAGTGTGTAAGCTTGAGAAGAGTGCATACGGTCTGATTGACGCACCATATCAATGGTATTCAGCCTTACATCAAGAATTGGTAAGATTAAGGTTCGAACCTGCGCCATTTGATGCCCCAAAGCAAGTATGTGGGGAAAATCCCTGCCATCAAAGTAACCGCAGAACGCCGGTCTCAAACAGAGGCAGCAAGTACCGAGGAAGAAAAACAACAGCTAAGGGCGCTAATTGGATCACTCCAATATGCGTGTGTCAACACCAGACCTGACCTGTCACGCAAGGTAAATGATCTTCAGTCCAAGATTCATACCGGCGCCATAGACACCCTGCCGTTGGCAAATCGTGTACTTCATGAAGCCAAGCGACATCACGATGTCACTGTAACCATACAACCGATTGCCATGTCTGATTTTAAATTCTTAACATTCTCGGATGCGTCATTTGCATCAAAGTCTCGGCCTGACTCACATGCTGGAATGATGATTGTAGGAACACATCAGGCCATCCAAGAACACATCGGCGCCCATTAGTCCCATTTCTTGGGGAAGCAAGAAAATTCAAAAGGTTGTGATGAGCACACTGGCCGCCGAGACGGCCGCATTGGCATCGGCCCTAGATCAAGTGTCCTGGCTCCGTTTGTTTTGGGCATGGATCATCAACAAGAATGTAAATTGGAAACAGGCTGAGAAGAGCCTACCGATGTTGCGAGCAGCCATCACGGCTCCCACCATGAAGGAAGAAGATGATACAAAAGTGACAGATTGTAAATCACTTTACGATCTAGCCACTAGAACCGCTCCCAAACTGTTCGGAATTTCGAATCCAATTAGAAGCCAGAGCAATTAAGGATTTGCTTGCAGAGGGCATCAAACTCAGGTGGGTGCACTCAGGAGCCTAGTTTGCAGACGCGCTCACAAAGTGCATGGAATCTCAATTTTTGCGGACCACTCTCAAGGAAGGGACATATGCCCTGGCCGATGAAGCTGAAATCCTTCGAACTAGAGCCAAGCAGCGTGATCACATTAAGTGGTTACAACAAAAGAAAGATACAAAAGAATATTTGGGAGTGTGAATGCATCAGCCATGATACGAGATGTCCATGAGCGTCTCAAAGCAGTGTCACTTCCCACAGCCATCGCAGTTCAGGGAACCTGTGGTGGGAGGGTCGTGGCCATTCACTTGGCTTGAGCCATAGCTAGGTGTCCAGGAGAGCAGGGTCTCTCACAGATCGTTCAGGCGGAGGACGAAACAGAGCAATAGGGAAGCTTGCCCTTGAAGCTTCAGGGAAGTTGTTGTGCATTGTTTTGGAGTGGCTACCACTTTTACAATATATGTTCGTATATATAATCATCCTGGAGTAGATAGAATATGTCATTTTTCAAAAACAAATTAGGTCAAGGCCGAAACATAGATAGAATATGGATCTGACCCCAAAAAATGTGTTCAAAAAAATGTGACCTCAATCAACCGCTGAGCGCGCCCCCCTTTTCCACTCGTGTTTCCCTTTCCCTGTTCACTGTACGAGGAAGTGGCCGGCAGTTTTTTGATCTAAAAGATGCATCAACACAGCTGAACAATATTGAACAAACACCGTCCAGATATTGTCCTGTACCTGCTTTCTGTCTTTTCTGCTAGCATCAACAAGAGACCGACCTTCTAGGGATGGCTTCCAACCTAGTAGCGATGGCCTCCAACCTATTTGGACGATTTTCAAGACTGAGCAATGAGGCACATCATCATTGTGCCGGCGACCAACAATTCTTGCCACGAACAAACACATAGATAGAATATTCAGCAATAAGCAAAACTAGCAAGGAAGCAGAGAAGAAGCAAAGGCCTCAATTTATCAAGTACAGGGAGATGAGGCAAGTCATTGTTGGGGACAAATGCAAAGAACAAGCACATAGATAGAATATTTAATAACGCAGGAAAACAATTGAATAAAGCAAGAAAGGGGAACAAACATACAATAGAGATGCAGCTAGTGCCATGCAAAAGCAGGAAACTGATGCCACCAAAAAAAGGACCCAGGGATAGACAACAATTGACCTGATAACGGAGAGAGAGAGAGAGAGAAACAAAAACTTTAAAAGAGAGAAGATAAGGAAGAGAAAGGCCAGAAGACGAGTAGGAAAAGGGTAAGGAAGAGGAAGACCAGGAATTGGAGATGGGAAAGGGATAAGAAACAGGAAAAGGTAGACGGAAAAGAACATGGAAGAAGGGAAAAGAGGACACCAATTATAGATATACATTGATAAGATCCTGGAGTAGATATATGTGGGCCCAATATTCTATCTATGGGTCGGTTTTTCATTTTTAGTCTTTGTGTCCAAAACCACCAGTTTTCTCAACAAAAATTAATCCCTTTCAATTCCGGATTCTATCTACTCCAGGATGACTATATATATATATATGGTTTTTGATGCAGCATAATGCAGCCCTGGTGCATCTAGAGAATGGTTTTCAATGGCTGGCGCCAGCCAATCTGCCTTAGCTTGGTGTCACGCATGGCCTGAAGCTTGGAACCCAGTGATTCCTGCCAAGGAACAATTCCCACAAGCAAGACTCCTCCAACTAGTGGAAGCAAGCCGAGCACAAGCAGGTGCTTGCGTTGCAAACAACCAGTTCGCCGTAAGATTGCCCACATAATCAGCATGTACAAGAAAAATGCCAGAATATAGCCTGAAAATGGACATTGCCAGGAGGGAGGACCGTCACAGTTTTTGAATGGGTTGTGAGGTAGGCCGCTTCACCAATTCCACACAACCAGGAATGCGGCTTAAACACGTATGCACCACAATCGGCTCTACCCGAAGGATTTGCGAAGCTGAGCGCACTAGAAAGAAGAACATATTGTCGCATTGCCGCGATCTTCTGCAGCAAGTGATGGGCTGGCCAAAGCCGGTTTGATGGGCGCAGGACCTCCGTTCGCTTGCACGCTCTTAAGGGGATGGGAAGCACTGACGTGCCTGGCTGTCTCTTGCCCTTGCGTTTCCCGGCGTTTTGATCGCTCTTTGGCTGATGGGGGTTCTGCCTGGGTCGCCGCAGGGTGGATGGCCTTCTGCTTGCTTGGTCTTGTGTTTCCTGCATCTTGCGCGCCGCCAATTCAACTCACACCTACTCGTCAGTCCAAAATGGGAGTTTTGCCCCACTCACTTACGATGACCAAGTACCAGCAGGATCTGCGCTCGCTCACGCGTGTTGGATCGTGTTGGCATGTCTTTACGGACATGTCTTTTGGACGATGTTAGGTTGTTGCGGTCATTGCCTGGCACGCGTCAAAGTCATGCTTCTTTCATGTGAGAACTGACATGCTTCCACCTACACGTTTCTGCTCCTGGCCTTGGCTTTTGCTGCCGCAAAGGTTGGATGCACTTGTGGTTTGGTGGTGAAGCCGCGCCGGGGACACCAAAGGGACATTTGCTCAAGTAGTAGTAGTAGCATAATCAATTGTCACCGTCATCGTCGTCTGCTCCATGTGTTCCTTCGTTTCGGCCACCTCACTCCACACAAAACCAGGCCCATCCCTTCCTCCCTTCCTCCCTCCCTCCATAAACTTCCAGTATGTTGGATCCTCTCTCTGCAAAGCGTCAGTCGTCCAGGGCTCATTTCCAACACCAGCGTCTTGGCCACTCAGAGGAACTACAAAACTGGAGCATATTGCCACGGGCTCACGTCATGCATCTAACCTGCGTCATATTTCGAGCACTTCATCAGAACACCCAGCCCCTGCATCCACAGAAAGCAGCGCCCCACACCTTTCCACAAACCATCCTTCGGCCAAGTGGACCATAACCTGTTTGCAACGAGTGCAAAACAACAGTGAGAGCCTTATCCTCCGCCTCCTTCAACTCTTCTCAAAACGCACATCTCCACCAACTCCAAAACAAACAGGAGAGTATCACATGCTGGACACCGTCCTGCATTTCAAGACAATTGAAGACTACAAAAGAAGCGGCGACTGCAAACATTTTGCAAGAGGAGGAGCACACTGGGGAGCATGCTCAGATATCCATGACAAGCGACTGAGATAAAGCTTTCTCGAAACAGCCAGGGACAAAGCACTTGGAAGATGGTTACCAAAACAGTAGGTGTCTGACGGTGTCTGACTGTACGGTTGGGGTTCTGGAAAGGGCTGTACCAAATCTGATTCTCTCGGAGTGTTTCAAGCTGTGAATCTGATCAAGACGCCCTTCACGAACATCAGTCCAATCCCACATGCTGGTTTGCATGAAAGTGGCCTATTGCAAAATACTGTCGAAGTAGCCCCATCGAGTATGATAAAACAGTGACGCTGCCCTGCAGGGCTGTACCCAGCAGCATGATGCGAAGCATCACCCACAACCATTCCTCAAGCTGGCAGAAACTACAACTCTCTATTAACTTTATTGCATAAGATTGATTTCAATAGCAGCTTACTCATGAGAAGGTTGCCGAGGTTCCCTCTGAGCCCTACTTGTCGTCCACCGAATGGCTGCATCTACACGTCGATACCCTGTTTCAGCTGCCACTACAGCCGGGTCGAGGTTGTCACCAGCAAAAATATCAAGGACTGCCAAGTGGCTATTTGACCTCCACATGCATGATTTTGAAAGAATGCCAACAAACAAAATGCTCATTGTGAGTCTAACGGCCCCCTGGCAAAGGGTTTGTAACGACCGTATCTGTCAGACTTTCTCAAACGTGCGGCAGTGGCACAAACATTTGCCTGCGCTGGTGGACACATCTGGCTCCAAACGCTTCAATCGCTCGACGAATTCGTGCCTTGAATGAATACATGAGCTTCATAAGTTGCGAAACATACATAGTTGAACATGTTGAGCTTACAATTTTGTGCCCAAACTGCAATGTGCTTCCAAATCAATGAATCAATTGTGTTTGCTTCCATACATCCAGCCTCATCCTCAGAATTGGAGCATCGTGCAGTGCGGGCTTTGCATTTTCCAGCCGGGGCCAATGTCTGCGCTAGCCCCACATACACTTTCAATTGTGAAGCCATGAATATCTCCTTGGAACTCAACTTTGTTGTCGAAAAAGTGGGCAAAGAAATAGACAAACTGACGCTGAAAGGCATAAACACACCAAAGCCTTTGGTACAGGTTGTCTTGGTAGTTGGGGACTGCAAGCATGCCTGGGCACTTGAAAGACAAAGTGTGCACACGCGGAAGCAAAGTCTGATTGGCCTTTCTGAACTGCAAAAGGCAAAAACGTATATAAGAGAGTTGCCAATTCACTTCAAGCAAAGTCCAGCTTGTAAGGGGAGCTTTAACAAATGCTTCCAAGCCACGGCCACAATAAACCCGATGCTGAAAAAGGTGTAGCACAATTGCCACAACTCCAGCCAAACAAGCAAAACACCAGGTAAGTGGAAAAGCTGGGCGGCAGTAAGAGACCAAATCTTCCACAACCTCAGGTTCAACGTGTGTCAAGATTGAAACAGTCTAGTACACAAACCAAGTCAGATTTGCTTCGCTTACTGGCTACTCTTGATTTGCCTCGCTTGGCGGTGCCTTGGAATTTGGGGAAAATGCATCTCCCCAATTTCAACCAAGCTTGAATTCATTTGCACCTATGCCCCGAGACCGGAAACCTAAAACTGGTGAACATATACATCCCTCCGTCAGATGGAAAAAGCAGTAGCACCAGCCCAAAAATGGAGCGGAACTGAGAAAATGAACGCCAACCCTTATTGAGAACTCTTGGATCAAGCGCTGCGGGCCAACATGTGGGCAAAGAAATGGGAAGACGGTTGTACCAATTTGGAGACAAGGCGGAAAGCGTCGAACAAGTCGAACAACAATGTCACCTGAATCTCGCAATCAGTACCAAAACAAAACTAGAGGATTGCGACAGCAAGCTGCTTGATGAAGAATGCCATGTTCAACGTTCAAAACGTACTGTGCCTGCAAACAACTCCGAAACTCTTGCCTCCCCGTCGTCTTGTTTCATCTTGCCAAGCTGCCCATCGCGTTGCGAAGCATGTCCCACTCCCAGCACTTCGCCAGCCACCACAAATTTGGCCTTTGTCTTGCTCCTTGAAAATAGAAAAGGCAAACAACGAAGCACTGCCACACAACTGACAACGAAATGCACCTTGGAGCCAGGTGACAAGGACATACAAGTAGCTGGGGCCAGGCACACCGCCGCAAACAAGTTGCGACACCATAAAAATTTCAAGGGCAACGAGCAAGCACAAACCTGGGCACAAAATCATGCAGAAACTGATCGCCATCGCTGCTGCAGTGCCAATTCAAGCAAGCCACCTGGTAGAATAAAAAGTGTACGCCGTGGCCACCACCACCAGCCAGCAATGCGGCCTCGCCCCTGAAATGAAAAGGGCAGCCCAGCATTGTATACAGTATCACAATCCCTCTTTTTGCGCGATCCCAAACAAAAGAAGCCAGGCGAACACTAGCGCGCCGCTAATGCAAACTCATTTCCATGGAAGACCAGTGACAGCGGGGCCTGAATGTGTTTCAGGACTCGACCAAACGGGCTCTCGTTCATAGAAGCCCCAATTTGTTCAGAAACTGTTGGACCTGCATCATCCTGCAAGGCTGGCACACGCTAGTTCGAGCACATCAAATTTCAATTGTCCAGACCTCGCCTCGTTCTGATAAATCGCAAACGCACAAACAAAGAGCACTTCATCTGGACGCACAGTGCGTTCAAGCGTCTCAACAAACTCCTGGCGAGCCAACACAAAAGTGTGTCACCCGCCCGGCAAATTTTTTTACGTGCCCATCGTTTTATGGCTCAAGCTCAAAGGTGTCAACCACAACCCACGAGAAAGGGACATGAATCCAGAAAGGCACATAATACGGCCCATGGTGTTTCACTCGTGTGCGTGTGTCTTGCGTCACACCGGAATGGCCCCAACTTTCCGGTGTTGCTGTTTCTTGTGTTTCCCATAAATATTGTGCCTTGAAGAGTTGCAAACTTGTTCTTTCGACAGACTCAGTCCATTGGGCACAAAACAAATACATGGTTTTCCATGTTTCTAGGTTTTCAAAGAATGCACAATCTCCCCGTGCGGAATTTTGGTGCATGAACGCGTGTTGCAGGCTCAGGGTTTTATGCTTTGTGGTCTGGCTCGAACTCAAACTCTGAATCAGTGTGTGCTAGAGATGTCAATCTCCGCTGGTGGCAGAGACTGTGGTGCAGCTGCTGGTGTTTGTGTGGGAATTGGTGCGTCTCCCATAGCTATACCCCCTTCTCGGTGACGGTGCCCTTCTTGTAGCTAGCCTGCCATACTGGCATGTTGGGGCGCATCTCATGAGCTCTTGGAACTTGCCTGTGATCGGCCTGAGCCGGCATGGTCAACATTGGTTCCCTTGAACCAGAGCTCCGTGAGCCCCCTTTTTCCCGAAGAAAGCAGCGTGACCGGGTGAGTTCCCTGACGAACTCAATGTTCTACTTCCAATGAGGCTCCTCTTGCAAGTCGCCTGATTTTCCTCTTGCTTTGTTTTTTGTTGGGACAGCACTTCGACCCCTTCATACACTTGTCCATCCACCGTTTCCATTCCAACAAAATTGCCTAAATACAAGACTTCCTCAGCCTTCGGGATGATCAAAAGTGGAACACCATTCCGCAGGCACCCAAGTCCCTGACAATGGATTCCCGATGGCGAGCCGAGCTGCCAGGAGGCGCATCTTCCCACTGACAGACATCCAACCCATGCTTTGTGCGTGCTTCTGATGCTGCGTGCCGAGCCTTCATCATGGAAGGCGGGCAAAGCAGTTGGATCCATCAATTTTTCCAATATTGCAGCTCGAATTGATGTCATACCCGTGGTCGGCACAGGCCGCAGCCTTTTCGACACCCCTTTCCGTGAGACGCTGCTGTAACCACGATAAAACATGCTCGATCATGGACACAAAATAGGTGGTCCAAACAAGAAACCAAAATTGCAGCTCACCGACAAAGAACTGACGACCTGATCACCGATAAAAACTATGACCCGATCACCGGTAAATAACAATGACCCTGCACTAAAAATCTACGCGACCAGGCGTGACCCGATTAAGGAGCATCTGTCGCCCTGAAAGATTCGATTTGCGGGAGATGCTCAGGATCCGCGGGGAATCCGCCGGAGATGCTTAGGTGAGGATTTGCAGGAGATGCTGGGGATCCGTGGGGAATGCTCGCAATCCGCGGGACAGGGGTCTTTCAAGGTGCGCGGGCACTGCTCAAGGTGGGCAGGTAGGATGTCAGGATGCGCGGGAGACGCTCAGGATGCACGGGGAATGCTCACAATCCGCGGGAGATTTTTCCGCGGGAGAGGCTCAGGAAGCGCGGCACCTATATTGCGATCATCTCCTGCGAAGGCAGGATTCAAGGGCACGAGCCTGGATATCAACTTTCAATTCGACATGCTAAGTTTGCAGGAACCTCAATCAAAGTGTGTTGACCTGGCCATTGAAAATGGTTCTTGTTGAGGTTTGCTTTGAGTGAAGTTCGCAGGGTTCGACCTGGCGGGCTAGTCCTGGTTGGATTGCCGCGCTCTTCATTTTGCAGGCCGCCTGCCCCCTAGACTGGGAGCAAATTGCTTCTGAGCTCACATGGGTTTGTCGCAATTTCTATTTCAAGGGCGGCTGGAACACATCACCGAGCTTGGATCTGGGCCCGTCGGAGCTTGATCCTTATTTTTGTCACGAAGACTGCGTTGGCTGCTCGAGCAGCCGGAGGGCAGTGCAGCGCCAGCCTGGCTTTCAGTGGCTATTTGACACAATTCAGGCCGGGACAAAAATGTGATAGCGCAGGTGTGGTCTACAGGTGTCTGGCACGGAACCTATCGTGGTGACGTGGTGGGTCATTAGAACCCCAAAGCGGCAGCGGCGTTGCTGGTATTGCGCTTTGGTGTCTGGTGAACATGAGGTTGTGCCTTTGGAGTCTTTGATGAAATGTCAGAAAGTGCTGAAGACAGAAACGCCTGGTAAAGTCGATGTGCCAGAGGCTGGTGTCCCGGACTTGTATGCGTTGTCTCTTCTGCTTGTGTTTCTGCAAGCTGCCGCCCCGCAACCCTCTCAAAGGCCTGAGATAGACAAGCAGCTGCAAGGGCCTGTGTTTGCAAGATCTTTTGGTCTGGCTAATGTGGCTAAAGTGATTGATGCGTGAAAACTGTTCCTTTGTTGTATTGCATGGAGGTCTATGAATACCTTCCTTCGTGGCCAATCTGATTTGAGCAGGCAAGCTTGCTCCAAGTCTGGGCCCTATATTTGCGGGCGCTCCAAACAGTTTGCCATTTGTTAAACTTTTTGTGCGCAGGCCTGACCTTGCACGTAACAATGATGAAGATGAGACGCGGCCTACCGACTTGGTTTTGACTTTGCCTGAAGACACGGAGGCCCTTCGGCAGAAAGGTTGACCCTCCTGCTCCAACTGCTCCTGTCGAGCCTGAGGAAGTGCCAAACGCGCTAGTAGATGCGCCCGACAAAACTGCAGAGCTTGGCCCTTCTTCGGCGCAACATGCTGCACCAGCTGCCACAATGTCAGAAGGTCAAGAAGGTGGTAACCAATGCAAAGAAGTCTGTCTGATAGCGACCACCAAGTGGAGAAGCAAACGTTCCTTCAGGGTTGGGTCAGCCAAGGGGAAAATGCTCAAGCGTGCGAAAGCTACCTTGTCACGCGAGCCACGCAGCGACACGAAGAGCCTTTGACCTTCGACCGTGCGTGCAGTGCGTGCGATGGGTATGATCGAGTGAGTTGCTTGCTTCAATTTTGTTTTGTATTTTTGCGCGCTTGCTTATGAAGAACTTGTGTTGTGGCTACATGGCCTCTTGTTCATTGAAGTGTTCCAAAAGCTGCCTCACTCATGACTCATGATCTTGTTCGTTCATGAGTTTTCTTCATTCACGACTTTGTCCATTCATTTCCTTGTGCATGCATGGCTTGCTCATGCGTGACCTTGCTCATTCATGATCTTGCTGAGACATGTGTTGGTTCACTCAAATATATTGTGGTGACTGTTGTGGCGTTGGGCATCCATGTGCATTCTTCCATCTTCCATCATACGTTTTTTCACTCGGGACCTGATCTTGTTCATTCAAGACCGCTTTCACGCGGTCATTGATGTCCCTGACCCACCACAAATTTCAGGAAATTTGATGGCCTTTGCTGCCAGGCCGGGCCAAGTCAAAAGCGAAGGCAAAGGCCAAGCCCAAAGCCGATGACAAGGGGATTGTTGTGAATCGTGAAACTCGAGGGCAAGAACTGGGAACAGAAGAAGACGCTCATGTGTGGGAACCTTAGCTCTGGTTAAGGGAAGTAGGACGATGCGTTCGCGTCATGTCACAAAGGTTCAGAGTTAGTTGAAGAAAGCGCTGAGCAGCGTCAATAGGCAGGTCTTGTTTGCGGCAGGTTGCTGATTGTCGGCTGCTGAAGGCACAGGCACGGGCGATCTTGGTGGAGCTGAAGAAGTGGTGCTGGCCATGTTGTTGTGTGTTGGGCATTGCTCCACTGAAACATGTTTTGCAACGGCGGGGGCTACCTGCAAGAGACGAAGGGCTGAGGACATGATGTGGTGAATGAATTTGAGTTGATCTTCCCCTTCCTGTGGCTTGCAGGATTGGGTTTTGGCGATCTTGAACTTGTTAGGGCCATGTGTTTGGTTGGTGAGACCCGAGAGGTTTGCTTTTGGCTTGGCACACTGCAAAAGCAGTGCCATGTAGGTTATACACCCTTCCGCAGGTATTGTTTTCCACTCAGGTTGGGTTCTGATGCTGTCCAATATAGTTGGGAAAGCTGTTGCCGCGTGCTGGGAGGCCTGCGACAAACACTTAGGAGACGCTGGCCCATCAGCACATGCGAAGGGGCAAACTGTCTTTGGATGCTCAAATCACATGGCACCATCTCAGATCACCTGATCCTATCAGCTGACATAATCAATTACATGCCTTCAAAATTATAGCAATCGGTTAAAAATTATAGCAATCGGTTACACTAGGACTTTTAGTTGTGGATTGGACATTGGATGCCAATACCTGATTGGACATTGGATACCAATACCTAATTGGACATTAGATACCAATACCTGGTTGGACATTGGATACCAATACCTGACTGTCCATTTGATACCAATACCTGTTTGGACATTGGATACCGACACCTGATTGTCTGTGGCTTTAGCTGCTTGGTAGAATCTTTTGTGGATTCACCAGCGTCTGCCTTTCGGTCGGCAGACATTTTCAGCGCAAAAGTCAGCCCGGGATGTGCATATATTTCAAAAAAATGTGTGTCTACTATATATATATATATATTCCTGAGACGGGGGGGACGAAAGCCAGCAGCCGCCAAACGAGTGTCTCTTTTTCTGGCGGGCGTCGCGGCGCAAGACACATGGTCAGCAGCTTGCGATTCAGCGGCGCCGCGGATGCGGGGGGGCGTATGTAATGGTGATGGAGGGAGCAGAGAAGCAAGCCGGGCGGCTTTGGGATAAGTTTGGTATGAAAGAAGTAGTGAAAGAAAAATGCGATACATTGTGTGTTAGTGTAGGTCATCTGGAAGTTGGAAGGTGACATTAGCGAAGGGGAAATACCGTCTGAGTTCAAGTGGTGGGATACCGCGCGCGCGGGCAGGAAAATCATCTCCATAGTCAGCATCGCCGCGCGCGCACGCGCGCGAGTACGGCATGCGATTGAAAAGAAGCAATTATGCGTTGGTTGCATATTGAGTGTTTGAAGTTTGCAATGCGTACTGCGGCACGTCGAAAAAGCGGCATTTTTTGATTTGGAAGAGTGAGCGGGCACGTCTTAGCCGGGACACGGACGTTCGATCCCGCGGCGCAGAAGGGGAGGTCCAGCGCGAGTAGCTTGGGCTAGCAAAGGAGTGAGGATTTGTGCGCCTATCGACGCACATGTCTGGACTTGAGTGAGTCATGGTCTGGCTCGATCCAAAACACAATCTTTTTCCTTTAAAGGGGCCTTTATTAAACGACCCAAACACATTATTTATTCTTCACTTTCTTATCAACTCTGCGCCTTTCTCACTCAGAGGCCTTGACTTTGGCACCTGCGTGTGTAGATCTTTGGGCCTTGGACCCAGGCTGACTGGATTCGGCCAGGACTGCCAGCAAAAAGGCGACATCATGAGTCAGTAGTATATAGAATTTATCTATCTATCTATCTATCTATCTGCACGTTCGGTGCGTGTGGACGCCGCTTTTTGCTAGGGGCAGGAGCCCTATGCGGATATGTAGTCAACTTCGCAGGCGTCCCACCGAAACTCAATCCAAATTCAAAGGCTTGAGCTCATGTCACTTTCGGTTCTCTATGGATTTCGCGAGTTACGGGTTGTCCTGGGAGCTCGTATCCTACATGCGGCTGCGGTCTGCCCTGTACGTGGGTCCCTGTCTCCACTCGATTGCTCAATGCCCATTGTCCAAATAGCCTCCAAAGCCCTTCACGACGCTAATGATGCACTACTCGGCGTCCATTGCATCACTCGCATCACCAGACCCCATTTTTCATTGCTTTTCTGACCCTCGCTTTGGAGGGCTCTCCCCCACCAAGCTCCGGGTTCACCCTCTCAAAATGTCCCTCTCAACACCCTCCCCCCTCAACACCCCTCAACTCACTTCGTTCGCACTAAAACTCAAGCCTGGCCTATCGGCTGGCTTTCGTAGCATATATATTGATAAATATCCCAGCAACCGGTTGGCATCTCCGGTGTTTCCATGTCCGCAGGCCATAGACAACATCAAGATACCAAAACACAGCTTTCGCTCGATACTTCCCCCGGTTTCTGAAAGTGAGCCACATGCCCAAATGCACCGGCCACGAAATCAGAGCGCGCCACCGCCATGTCCAAAGCGCTGCGCCTGCCACGATATCTGCACATCGAAATAGAACCACTCCAATCTCCTGCTCCCACCACGAAAAGCCGACTTTGGGCTACCAAAACACTAGGTTTCCCTTGCGCCTTGCGCCTCCCACAAAAAGTCACCGCCAAGATCGAAAATTTACGCACGGCAACGCAATGAGAGCACAGTCGAGAAAAGCGCCTCCAGACGGTCATGGTTGCACTCGGAAACTAAACTATAACGGTTGTATTCGGAAACTAAACGACTGCATTCGGAAACTAAATGATTGTATTCGGAAACTGGTATTCGGAAGCTACAGCGTGGTATTCGGAAACTGGCATTCGGAAACTGAACGGTTGTATTCAGAAACTAAACGGTTGTGTTCGGAAACTGGGACAGTGGTATTCGGAAACTGGACGGTTGTATTGAAACTCGAAGCTTCTCGGAGACTACCCGATATTCGGAAACTGGTATTCGGAAGCTGGACAGGTGTATATATTCGGGAACAAAACACTTGCGTGTGGAAACTGGAGAACGCATCAACTTTCCACGAAACTACCCGCGTATATTCTATAAGTTTATTGCCCCTGCCCCCCACCCCACCGCTTCATCCTAGACAACTGTCCACGCAAGTACCCACCAAAGTTACTTTTTTTAAGGATACAAAGAACATAGTTTCTGAATACGACAACAATAGGGTCTGAATACACCGAAAATAGTTTCCGAATACAACGAAAATAGTTAGTTACTGAATACAACGAATCAGTTTCTGAATCCCACAGTTTCTGAATACAACGAGATAATTTCTGAAGACTGGTTCTGAATTCTAACGCAATGCAGTTTCTGAATACGACTTTGTTCGCTCCAGACCACCAGTTTCCGCGATCCTGCGCAATCAAAACGAAGCAATCTAGCCGCGAACTGGCCGCGAACCCCGGCAAGGACCTCGATCAACAGCGCGGCCTTAACACTAAATTCGCGAACACATCCGGAGCACCAACGGCAGGCGCCTAGTTGCTTGGGCTTGACTGCGTGAACGTGGTAACTCCATTAAAATCGACCACCAACTGCACAAAGCCCTGTTTTACAGTTTACAGTACACACTCTAGTTAACTGCAGGGGTGGGGTCCTGGGCCAACATATCCGCCTAGCGTTGTGCCTGGGGATTGAACCCAAGCACAGCGCGTGAGGAAGGCAAAAAGCCTTTCTGCCGGAGAGTGCGCGAATGATCTTAAGGAACCGGTTGTGGTCAAGAACTGACTGACCACCTTGGCGGTGTGATTGCATGCCTGAGTCAGCTGAACTTGCGCAATCAAGTTGCTTGGAAAGGCAACAAAGACACCCAGGTGTCAATATGTGGGAAGACTATAAGCAGCGGGTCTTGTAGTGACCTGTCTGTAACACCCATAGCAAGCCAGGGGCCAGCGTGTTGCTTGGTGTTAGCACTGGCGGTGGCGCGCCGAAGGTGCCAACTAGGACTAAGGACAAGGATTTCTTTTGGGATCTTGACGTCGTCCCTGGCATGACATGATGTCATCCCTCGCATGACATGATGTCATTCTGGGAATGACATGACGATGTCATCATCCCTGGACCAGCGCCAGCACCAGCACTGCAGCAGCACCCGCAAAACGAAACGCCGATCCAGAGCCAGCACCAGCAGGCAACAGCACCCGCAAAACCAAAACTCCGATCCACGGCCAGCACCTGCGCCTGCACCAGCACCAGCACGGCAGCAGCACCCGCAAAACCAAAACGCGGATGCAAAGCCAGCGCCTGCAGCACCAGCACCGGCAAAACAAAACGCCGACCCACAGCCAGCACCTGCACCGTCATCAGCAAAACCAAAACGCCGATCCAAAGCCACATCATGGAGAAGTTAGAACCCCTATAGCCTGCAGCTATCTGGAGAAAATATCCCTTCTTTATCTCCTTTCATCTCCATTCCAGAAAAGAACCCCTCCTCGATACTATAGAATCGACCCGTGTGACCTAATCTGAAGTGCAAATCACCCATGTTCCTGGGTGAGTAGATCCACACCATGAAAGTTCAAGCTGGATGCTTGCTTGCATCATCAAATGGAACGTGGAAAGGGGTGCGCAAGAGGTCTGCTTGACAACGGGGCGTAGGCGGCACGGGAGGTGCACGACGTGTTGTGCTCCAGAAGAGTGTCAAGGATGGACTCCCACTCCTAGTGTGCCGCTGTCTGATCGCAATCCATGCTCTTGCCAGAGAAAGCGCAAAGCCCCTCACATCTTGCATCACCTCCACGTTCTGGCGCACAAATCCATAGACGGAGGTGGACGGGCAGTGACCAATGTAAAAAAGTGAACGGAGGGGTGGAGGGAAGGACCGATGAAACCTACTCCGAAACCCGCTTCAGAACCTGCTCCTGAACCTTGTCCGAAACCTACTCCGCCATGACAAAAGAATCATTGGCTGCTTTGCAAAAATCCAGCTCCTCTGCGTTCTCGTTCCATGAGTGTGATACAAGCACCTCCACTTCTAAGGGAGATTGGTGGTTGATCTTGAGAGCATAACCTAAGCAGTTGTTTGGACATGCTGGTGTTCAAAGCAAGGTCTGCCACCCCAAACATGAACGACTTGAGACCAGCTGCCGACACCCTTGCCAGCTGTACGTGGCAAAATGTGATTTCTCACCATGTCGCGCACAGAATTACTCTGATGCCAGTCGACATCCTCCTGCAAATAAATCTGTCTCTGCATCTGCGCTCACATCTCTGTCTTATGTTGTTATCCTTCTCTCTCTCTCTCTCTGTCTGCACACGACAACTTCGTAGCAACTCCTTGCAATCATCCATCAGCTCTCGAATCTGCCGCATCGTCATGCCCCAATGCTCCGGCCAAACATCAATCCACGCGCCGTTCCTCAGGGCATTCGGGGTGCACGTGGGATCCCCTTCACTGACACAAGCTTGTTCCTCAATTTGTAGTCAAATTCTTGCTCGCTGGCTTTGAGCCTTCAATCATGAAAAGGCCTGCCAACCAAGACTCCGTTGAATTCGCTGAGGCATTGGCTGCTCTGACATGCGTGACCCAAATTCCTGCTTGGGATCTTTCAAAACACGTCAGCACTGTTGAACACTTCACATTCGCACCCTCCAAGACCCTCCTCCAATGAAATGTTGCACGGCAAGTCTGAATCTTCATGCTCACTGGCTGAGTCTTCCACTACGGCGCCCATTACATGCTTGGCTAAAACTTATCTCAGCATTGTGGCGTTTGTGCCTTTGCACATGCCTGCTTGCGACTGAGCCAAAATGCAGCCAATTCATAGCGTGATTGAAAAGGGTTTGTCTGCTGGACACACTTCTATCAAGGCATGCTCCTTACATCTTGTAGTAGCTGCTGCCACATGTTGATTCACACTATCACATTCTATGGCTTACAAGGTGCTCCGGCCTGGGCAAGATGAGACAGGATACATCTGCTCACAGTGTCGTTAGTCACTCTTTTCAAATCCCACAAACAGTGAACGGGTGTGTAGCGCCGGTGTACAAAAGCATTTGAAGGACAGCCAGAATAATGACAATGCTCCCGGAAAGGGACGGGGGATTTCTGGTGAGTAACCATATCGGGGTGGTGAGTTTCCCATGTCCGAGACGAATGACCCAGCAAAGTTAATCTTCAGGAAATGTTGTGGCCATGCATGCATGAGAAGAAAGCCTGAGATGCCAGGCTGGCAGTTATATATTCCTTTTCAAGAATTGGTGTTGAAACCAGGCTGCAGTTTAAACGCAAAACTTGTGATGGATGAGGATCGGACCATCAGGCAGGGACGATTTGAGCTTCGTCTTCGACTGATCATACCTTGCTGTGTGCATTCCGCTTTCAAACTGCAAGTGATAATTTAACTTGTGTGCTGAGAAACAGACGCCATCAGTTGAGAGGCAGACAAGGTAGAACCACGAGCTACAATCTGAGCACCACAATGTGAATGGTTCAAACAAGGCATTTCAAACAGCACCCTTTCCTTTTCAAGAACTCAAAAAACATCGAACAGAAGTGCATGTGAAAAACTCCTCAAGAACGCTACAAGCTGACTGTTAGAAGATCTTAGCACCTTGCCACACCAGCACCACGCCACAAGGTCTGGATTGCATGCAACGGCCCTCGACCAAGAGCCGTACAAAACTTGAGACGGAAACCCTAAGTTTCAAACCAGAAAGAGACTGCTGAGAGACACCCCGCGATCTGAAAAGACAAAAACGCAAAGAGATGGCCTGGACTTGAAGCCACCAGCGATCTCAGCGCCTACCAGCTTCGAAAGAGTGATGAGACATGCTAGGAACTAGGACAGCTGAAACATGGCCGTTTAGCAAGTAAGCCTTGGAGGTGCTTTGGTATGTCGGAGCACGCCCACAAAGTAGACCAGTGACATACAATCCGTCCTCGAAAGACATTAACATCGTGCTGAACGTATTGGTGATTAGTGCGCTGTCCAAGTCTTAGCCACCGACTGGCCCGATCTTTCCCGCTTCAGCTTGCATTTGAGTCTTGACCTGTCTGTGGATCGTTCATTTTGCTGCTATCTGTGATGGCATGGTGTCCAGCTTGAACGCACAGGGGCACACAGCTCCGCACCTGTAGCAAAGGAGACGCAATAATGTAGCCAGTCCTCAGGCAAAGCAAAGATTGGAAGCAGGCATATGCTGCACATGGCGCAATGTACTGTGCGAAAACAAATGATTATGGACCCTCTTCAGGCCATCTTTGTACAGGGCTGGGGGATGAAGCAGTTGGTAGCTTGCGTCAATTTGCACATCATTGTTTGCACAGCCCAACTTCCATCGCACAAATCATTACGCTATCCAAACATGGCCTACAAATTAAGCTACGAGGTGGATGGAGTGAAGCTTCATGAAGGAACTTGACAAATCCAGTCACAGTGATGTTCTTGTGATGATTTGCGATGCGCTGCAGTGCAAGATGGTGGTTTGTGATGCAATGAGGTGTCATTTAGTGATGTGGCACCTTGTGATGCTTGATGTGGTGAAGCGCAACATAATGAGTGGTGACTGGATGAAGCGTCATAGTTGAAGTGGTGGGTGGAACAATGTAATGCAGGGGATTTGTGGTGACCTTTTTCGACGTTTCGGCACGCCATTCACGAGCGACTGTTACGCTGCCATCCCAACAAGGGAACCGTAGGGGCTTTCAGCCCATCAGCATGGCAAGGAGGTTGCCAAGCGCGGGTTGGGTTGACATGTTTGGCTGAAATCCGGAGTAACCTGCACCAATCAGAATGAAAAAGAGGTGAATGAGAGGCATGCTCCAGCAACAGGTCCGGCCTTGTTCCAACCCTTTTGCAAAGCAGCAAAGGAGGTACTCGAAGAGTCAGGGCGGAGCCAGAAAACCAAACACAAACAAAGCTAGAGTGTTCGAACCTCTAGTGGTGTGATGAAGTGCAATGTGAAGTGGTGGCGATGATGTTTGATGCGGTGAAGTGCAATGTGGTCAAGTGGTGCAGTGATATGTGGTTTGAGGAAATGCAATCTTGCTCTCAAACATTCTGAAACATCACTTTTGATAATCACTGATCCCTCTCCAGAACTTCCTGTATGCTTTTCGTTTTCCCAGAAAGCCTCCAATTTTCCACGCTGTGCTGTTGCAACTTGAAACCGTTAGTTAGTGAAAACGCTGGAGAGCTTGACAAGGACTTTTCAGTATGTCCTTTTGTCTTAGGCCTCTAGGGCTCAACAGGAAATTCTGCACGGTTGCCTGTGGAATATTTAGAATTGAACCAGCTAATGCAACTGCGCGCCAATGCAAATGCATTCATCCAAATGTTCAGATTGCGTCTGGAATTGTGAATTCATTCATATGGCCTGGTAATCGAGGTCATTGTGAGGTTCAGTGGATGCAAGCAGGGATTGCGGATTTTTACGTGTATATTTTTGTTTTTTAGTGGGATGGCTCCAGTCTTCTGTACTCTCTGTACTCTTAAAGAGTTTCTAATTAATTCTAGTTGGTTCTCAATCAGGTTTAATCACTTGTTTTGGTGTGATATTTGGTGGTCTTTAGTCTTTTGTATGTTGCTTTTGTTTTTAGTTATATACTTCTATGTGGTTTTCAACTAGTCTTGATCTATTGCTTTGCCTTAGTCTTCTGTACTTTTATTGTTTTTGTTGTAAACTCGAATTGATGTTCAATTAGGTTTGAATGATGGTTAATTTAACAAGTCCTTTTACATGCCCTTGTACTGTTGCTAAATCTATTTTTAATCTCTCTGTTCAATGGAAATGTCCTGCTTAGACTTCCTTTGAAATGTCCTTGTCAATTTCCTTTTAGGTGTCCTTTATCATTTTTAAATGTCCTTTTGATGTTGTTTGTTCAGTTTAACGTGTTTTTGTGAAGTTTCCTTATAATTGTATTTTGATTTTTGAAAAGGCGCGGGCGCAGCTTTTGATCGCTGATCTTGGGCCTATGCGGCCGTCGTGCGTAAACCTGTCAGCATGCCTAGGTGACTGTCTTACATGCTTGTACTGGAATCTGTCACTCCTCCTTCACCTAGGCATACGTGACACAACCTAATGGGCTGGCCCTGCCTGCAAACCGGGCAGCCTCCTGCAAAATGCAGGACCTTTCCGGCTGATGTCATTTTCAGCCGATGCATGCGCTCCTCAAGTTTGGAGCTGTGCTTCTCAGCGATTTCTCGCTCTTGCAAAAATTCAGCTACATGCGCTTTCATCTTCTTCAAACCTTGTTCAAGTTCCTCTATGTAGAGATCCTTCAGGAAGCATTGACGCCGTACTTCTTCCAACTCACTTTCACGGCGGGCATCGGGTACAGAGACTTGGGTTTCTTGGTCCACCCTCTCAATCTGTACCTTCATGTCCAGCTTCCTGATCTGCACCATGGCCTCCACATTCTCTTTGATGAAGGCCTTCGTGCCATCGAGGAACTCAGCGATGTAGCTCCGAAGCCAACTGACTAGGCTCAAGGCCCCGATGCAAGCTAGGCTGCATAGCATCATCCATGTCCAATCTATTTCATCCTTCTCCTTCACTTCCGTCGAGGCGCTGCCGACTTTGTTGATCGTGGTCAGCAGCATAAGGAGCCCAATCCTGAGATCTTTGCTCTTGCAAAACTTCTTCATCCCTTGCTTGAGTTGGTGCTCCTTTTCAATCTCTCGGAACTCCGGCTCTCCCACGCGGTCACCCATCGAGGCCACCATGTGGAGCATGTACTGTAGACCTCGAAGTCGTTTCTTCGGCAAGTTCTTGGCGCCAATGTCGGCGCTGTTGAGGTCTGTTGGGATCGGTGCCACTGAGAGGACCTTCTCGCGCTCCTTTTGTTGTATCCACAACATGGAGGCGTCCAAATGCCTTACACGGCCAATCCCTTGCCTTTGGGTCATCCCTCTACCTGCTGAGCTGTCGGACCTTGCCCTCATCTTGCGTGCTCCTCCTGTGATTTGGTTCCACAGGTGCCTGACAAGCATGCCCTCTGAGCACCCAGCCACCAGTGCCATGAACTCGCTTTCGCCCGAGGATAAGGCGATGGCCTTTTGGCTCCTGACCTTGCTGTCGATGAGGTTTCCATCGATGAACACTTGCATGGAGGATGTTGATTTGCGATCATTCTTGTTTCCTGCGTGGTCAGAGTCTGTGACGATCTCTACCAGGTGCTCCTCTGCATCCTCAACCTCCTCGCTTTCTCTGAAGTCCATCATCGACTGGCCTCTCTTGCGTTCCTCAAGCCTTACTCCATATCCACTTGTTCCAAATAGATAGGAACACGTGTGCCAGGCGTTCTTCAGGGCGTGCTTTGTGGGTTTTGCCATGTGTCGGGCAAGACATTGGATGGCGTACTGCGCGTCAGGGCGTTCACCGGCCATGTACATGAGCCGTCCCACAATGCTCCTGTATCTTGTAACTTCAGCTCCCTCAAAGACCTCGGAGTCATCTTTCTTCATGAAGTTGCCGTCCAAGGGGGTCTTTCTGTAGAACTTGGAGTAGATATCAACATCTTTCTCGAAGCTGTCATATTGCTTTCGATCGCATCTGATGTCACAACATCTTCGGCCCAGGTTGAATTGTCTCTTCAAGTAGAAGAACTTGTCTCCCTGTCGAAATGGGCCCTTCTCTTCCACGTTCCACTGCTTCTCCTCCTTGAAGTACTGTATCAGCTCTCTCACCTTGTCTTCCCGCCCAACCATGAACACGTCGTCCACGTGTACCGTGAGGTACAGAATGTTGGGCAGTAGCATCAACGTGGGCTGCGCAAGATCTTGCTCCATTCCGAAGTCCCTGCAAGCCGATGCGAACAAACTGAACCATTGTGATGCAGCCGTTCTCTGTCCTGGGAGGCATCTGAGGAGTTTGTAGATGCGGTCATCAATCTGCACATAGGCATTCTCAGCCGCTGGTTGCGCCGCCATGCGGAAGGCGTCCTTGATGTCCAAAGTGACCACCACAAATTCACTCCTCACATTGAGTAGATAGTGAAGTAACATCTTGGGCAGCATCATCATCGATGTGGGCGCGAATGTGGCCTCAAGATCTATGTTGTTTCTGAACTGCCGGGCCACCAGTCGAGCTCTTCGAAACCATCCACCTCTTTCGAGGCGGTGCTTCCAGCACATGACCATCTTCGCGCTGATGATGTAGCCCTCGGTCTGCTCGACCTCTGCTCGATCTGTCTCCAGCATCGCTGGCAATTCCAACATCCTTTGGGTTTCTGTGTTTCGTGCCTCTTTGTCGAGCAGTTCCAATTCTTCTTCTGTTACTTCTGGGGGGTCGTCTCCTTCTTCCCCTCCATAGCTCATCCACTGCTCCTCAAGGATCTCGTCCGGCATCAGCTGCATGTCCACGTCTTCATCTCCACGCGGCTCGACTGCAATTGCATCTATCCCTGCATAGTGTGGCGGATGGAGATGGCCCATGTTGCGCGTTGGAGACATCCTTGGTGACGCTTCTGCCTCTGTCATCATCTCACCTCCTTCTTCTTGTCCTCCTCCTTCAACTCGTCCTTTCTTCTCGCCACTCTCTTCCACTGCTTCTCCTTGTCTTTTCTCTGCATGCTTTCTTGGCGATTCTGATGCATCCACCTTCTTGCTCTCTCTCTCTCTCTCCTTCACTCTTCTCCTCCTCAGACAGCTGCCTCTTCATTGGTGCATTTGTCGGTGTCTTTGGCGCTGCTGTTGTAGATGGGCCACTTGATGTCAGTGTGATCCCTGGTGTCATAGGTTGGCATCCAGGTGCTGGTGTTACTACACCTGTGGCCACATCTTGTGCGATCGCTGCCAACTCCTCGCTAGCTTCCATCTCCAAGGTCGGCTGGCGATACCGTTGCGCCTGTCCGGCATGCTTCATCAGAATACTCGCCTCATAGGCTCCAGTTGCGGAAAGAACCACATGGTTGTCATTCCAAGGATGCTTGGTCACCCAGACTCCCTTCTCAAACACTGCGCTTCCTTTGTTTCTGACAGCACGCTTGAACAGCACACGTTCTCCGAACAGGGCTAACTTTCCGTATGGGTGTCCGGTTGCCAACTCAAAGCTTGCCCTGTTGCTTCCATCCAGTACTCGGAACCGATTGATCAGGAATGAGGCATGTTTGAAGGACCATGGATAGATGTCGAAGCTTCCTTCAATGTTGAGACGAGCCTTGTCT